TTCCAAAAAAAAAAGAAAAAGAAAAGAAAATAAATGAAAAGAAAATGAAAAAACAAAAGGAGAGAAGATGAAGTGAAGCCGAAAAGAAAAAAAATTAAATGATAATTACCTGGTATAAAATGGGGCAGATCCATTGTAATTTGAATTTCAAAGCATTGACCAAGACTGCAAATGAGCCGATTCGAACATTTGACTTTATCGAGTTTTGCTCAAGACTGCAAATGAGCCGATTCGAACATTTGACTTTATCGAGTTTTGCTCAATATCTTTTAACCATGCTCGAACTTGACGAGCTTGTCTTGGTTGAGGCTCGATTCAACTCAATAACAAAACACAAACGCTCGAAATCAATTTAAATTTCACTCGAGTTTAGCTTGAAATTTACAATTACAAAGCAGCTAGCGAAGGGTATTTCGATAATATTATGCACATTCAAGAGTACAAACGACAGGCTCGAGCTCAAGTCGAACATTGACTCGGGTGCTCGCAAACAGCTCGACTCGATTGCAACCTCACTTATATCTCTCGAGCTCAACTCGAGCAGTAATTAAAATGCTCGCGACAAAGGCGGATCTACACAGGGGCCTGTAGGGGCACGGGCCCCTGTAGAATTTTTTTAGTAATATAGTATATATATGTTATATGTATAGATGTATTATTATATTGACATAAAAATATACATATTATTAATTATTATGCAAAGTTATTTCAATATAAAAAATAAAAAAGAAATATTTAAAATTATTTAACCTTCAATAGTATGTTTATTTTTAAGTTGTGGGATTTATGCTTATGCTATACTCATCTTCTTGTTTATTTCATTTTCCCTCTCAAAATACATAAAAAAATGTATATACTATATAGAGATTGGATCAAATATGTCCTTATTCTTAAAATGATAATGTGAGACTCAACCCTAACTATTAAATAAAAAACAAAGAGTCTGGTCAAGATTTGATCTTTTTATTTTTTTAATTGGTTGAATATTGATTTGACCGTTGACTTTCGGCGTTGACCGTTGACGGTAGTTTGTGTCCCCGTTGTCTTTAAAGTCTGCGTCCGCCCCTGTCGCGACCTTACTTATTTATCTTAAGCTCAAGTCGAGCGTTGACTCAACTGCTCGCTAACATCTCAACTCGTTTGGAGCCTTACTCATGTCTCGCCCTCTAGCCCACACCCCATGTTCTACAAGTTATTTGGAATAAATTCTAAATTATGTAGACTTTAGTTGACTTTTTGAAACCCAAACAAAAAACTCCATGGATTAATTACCAAATACTGTTATGATGTAGTTTGATGTCTCAGACTAAGAATCTACTTGAGTCGGCGACTGGAAGCCTTCGACCGTCCCCGTCCGAGTAAAGCTGATAACTTGCAAAATAAGGACCGTGAAAAGTTTTTTACGTCAGCACTCCTATACTCAAGTCATTGATCGAAAAGAGAAAGATAATGGTAAATAATATCTAGAACCTTTAGAGATAAGAGAGAGAGAGAGAGAGAGAGAGAGAGAGAGAGAGAATAAGAGAGAGAGAGAGAGAGAGAGAACATCCCTTTAGATAGGGTGAGTAACTTGGTGCCCAGTTAATTATGTGTCTTGGTGCCCAAGGGTTCTTGAGATGCAAACTTTTGCCCAAGGATTGCCCGAGGTTAATTTCTATCTGATTGTGTTGACATTGTGGCGTTCAAATAGGTTGTCTCGCATGTGTCTGATCTGCTCTATAATTAGGTCATCTTAAGTGCGACCGAGCTGAAGAGCTCGATGATTGTGTTCACATTGTGACGTTCAAATAGGTTGTCTCGCATGTGTCTGATCTGCTCTATAATTAGGTCATCTTAAGTGTGACCGAGCTGAAGAACTCGATGAATTCTTCCAGGTCGGACCTCTTATCTTATCATGGCTGAGCTGGGAAGCTCAATCCTTTCCATTATAATCAATTCGGTTAATACGACACGAATTAGTCCTAAACCGAGTCCTTTCCATTATACTCGATTCGGTTAATATGACCTGAATTAGCCCTAAACCGACCAACCTGCTTGATTCCTAAGTATTAACTCCAATTTAGCCGAGTTAAAGCTATATCACAGTAATATGTAGTAGTTAGTAGTAACCCTCCCTTGCTTTTGACTACAATTAGTTAAAAGGTTATTCTACTTTAAGGTAAGCATCATAACCCAAAAGAACAAAGAACCTCACAAAGGTTACTACAATTAGTTGGTGATCGAAAATGAGAAGAAAATGATAAATAATATCTAGAATCTTCTTTAGAGATGAGAGAGAGGAAAAAAAAAATCAATGCAACTTTATCCCTTTATATAGGGTGAGTAACTTGGTTCTGAATTAATTATTTGCCTTGGTTCCCAAAGGTTCGCGAGATGCAAACTTGTTGCCCATGGATTGCCTGCGGTTCATTCTTATCTGATTGTGTTCGCATTGTAGCATTTACACTTGTATTACCCGATCATGTTCATAGATTCATTTTTACGCCATTGTAGCGTTCACACTTGCATTACCTAATCATGTTCATATGTTCATTTTTACGCATGTCGTCTTAGGGCATCCACAACGCCCGTTTTTTCATATGCGTTCAAACGGCCCCCTCGTGTTCATCCGGACGCGGCGCAATCATTAAAAGGGGGGTCCACTTTACCGTTCAGTGGATTGAACGCTAGTTCATTTCTTTTCTATTTTTTTTTTATTTTTTTTTGTTTTAAATCTTATTTTATTCAATGTGCGCGTGCAGCATGCTTTTTTCTATTTTTTTTTTGTTTTGAAATAATTATTTATTTTGTCTTTTTCTTTTTATTTTTATATTTTATTTATTTTTTATAAATTTTGTTTTGTAATTGTACTAAATTTTTTTTTTTTTGTAATTGTACTATTTTTTTCTTGTGTAATCTTAATTTAAGTTATTTTGGTCATGTAGTGTTTTTTAATTTTCATGCATTTAAAATTTATTGTTATAATTTAAAAATATTAAATTTTATTTTTATTGTGAATATAATATAAAAAATTATATTGAAGGAGTGGATAATGGGTCCCACATATGTGTTTAAATGAATGGGTAGGAATGTGAGTGTGAGTTTAAATAGAGAGAGATTTAGTGGAAAGATGATGTGGAGATGATGTGGATGAGAGAAAGTGTTACTTTTTGATTGAATGAATGATTTTTGTGTTAAGGGTTGTGGATGCCCTTATTGAGGTCAGTAGGTCTCTTAAATTATCAACTCGTGTTCATTCAAGTTGTCTTACATCCTTCGAGTTCAAATAGGTTGTCTCGCATGTGTCCGATCTGCTTCATAATTAGGTCATCTTAAGTGTAACCGAGCTGCTTTATTCCTAAGTATTAACTCCGGTTCAGCCGAGTTGAGGCTATATCATAGTTATATGTAGTAGTTAGTAGTAAGCCTTCCTTACTTTTGACTACAGTTAGGCAAAGCGTTATTCTAATTTAAGATAAGCTGTCATAACCTAAGAGAAGAGAGAACCTCATAAAAGATGGTTTTCAACATGTTGTCACAACTCCCAAAATAAGAAGAAAAATGTTTGTATCACAACAAACTACAACAGAACCATCTTAGTCAGCCAGTTACAAATCAAATAACTAACAGAAAATGAGAAGGAAGAAGGGGNAAAAAAAGATATCACAAACAGTGAAATTACACACTGTATTCCATACAAACACTCTAAAATCTCCAAACCACCACAGCACAGCTTCTTCTACATACTATTCACATGCCAGTTTTGTATCAAAGCTGCTCAAACATATAGCGAAAGCCTGAAACGCAGACAACGGGTATCGATAGTCCATCGTGAACATATCCTTACCCACCTTCCCGAACTGCAGTATAATCTTATCATGGTCCGAAGAAGACGACGAAGAGGAGGGCCCGTTCTGCTGCTGTGGCGGCGGCGCTGGTGCAGGTGGACCAGCGGCGATGAGCTGGAAATTCTTGACGGAAGCCACCGTCACTCTCCCCCGGAAATTCAAGCACCAGCACTGCAGCTGCTCGTGCCACCTAGGCGGCTTGTTCTTCAACACTAAAGGCCTCTCTCCACAATTACTTTTGTTCTCATCATCATTGAGCGGGCCCGACATGTCAGAAAAGCGAGCGCTTCCAAACTCCGACTTGTTGAAGGAGACGCTTCTGAAGGAGGAGTCTGAGTCCAGTGGGCCCATTAGGAGGTTTTCGGGCCGGGCCGGAACCGACCCGCCGGGCTCGACTGCTGAGGCTGGGATCGAGCGCATCACACAGTGCATGCGCCGTGGGCCCCGCGTGCCGAGCACGTTGAGCTCGTAAGCCACTTGGGCGATGCCGTAGTTCCCAACTGGAAGCTTCGGAGAGACCCTCTTTGAGTTGAAACGGCGGCTCGTGCGGCCCGGAGCTGAGCTGGCGGCGCTAGGTGGCGGAGGGTTCGTGTCGTAGATTATGAACTTTGTTCCGAGGAAATTCGACCTGTTTTTTTTTTTTTTTCAGATAATTTCAATTAGAAATCATTTCTACTGAAATTCTTTATAGATGTTCTCTCTCTCCAGGCCATAAGTGCAGTTCAGGCTTTGCACATTATGACTATACTTAATTCTTTTATGTAATTCCCTTTTGATAGAGTCTGGGATTTTTAATTGATTGAGTTAAAGGGAAATTAATAATGGACTGACCTCACTTTTCCGAGGTAACTGCTACTAGACCGTGATATGTTATCAGCATCCATTGAAATCACATATTCTGTACAAGTGGTCTTGCGAATCCGTTTGGCAGAGAGAAGAAATTTACCGTTCTCCATAAGTAAAGCTGCGAGAAAAACGCCACACACTGTAAATAAACCATCATTATAAACTCTACATTCTAACTATAGAACAACCATCACAGTAAAAGCAAAATAGTCTCTTCAAATGTCCATATATATAATGCAACTTTTGGAGAAATATAATGAACATGACGGTAAAAATTTAACAAACAGCAAAAGTAACCGTTTTTTTTTTAACCTTCCTCATCAATAATACCAAAATCTCCATATCTTCCCCATGAAAAATGTTACATAGCACTAGAGCTTCCATTGAAGCTTGCAAAAGTAAAGACAGAACCACATTATTAAACTTATGATGTGATCGTCTGACCACAAACAGCAATTATGACTATAACGCAGCTAGGTTAATTGCAATCACTTTCTACAATGAAACTTAACTACAAGGAATACTAAGCTCCCCAATACAACCTCCATTAGATTTTGTAACAGATAAAGAAATTCTATAAGAACGTACCAGGGCTAAGGCAAAGAAACAGATGGTAGGTCGAGTTAGACTTGTTCCTCTTAATGAAGCACTGAATAGTCCCATCTCGATATCCAGGCTGAAAAAAATACAAAACATAAAAAAACCCAACATAAAAAAACTGAATTCATTGCCACAAGCATGGAATAGCAAAAGGCAAATGCAATACAGAAAATTTTCTTTAACCTGCTTGAGAGATATTGGGAAGGTTAATTTTCCTGAAAACTCTGGACACCTAACGAGTTCCTTGCACATATCTCTCCACGAACGGCAAACTGCAGCACAAGCAACAACGTGCTTTCGTGCGGGCCAAGTGCTCTCATTCTCTTCCAGCCTTTGGATCACATCACGAAGAAGCTCAAGCGGAAGCCCAGCCCAACAACTGCTCTGAACGACTTCGGGCTGATGATCGTGCAACTCATAAACAGCCACATGAGACTTCCCACGAAGCCTAAAGTCAAAGCTCCTTCTTGAAAGGCTTCCGATACTGTCCCTCAAGTCACGGGCCAGGCCACGAAAAGACATCTTCTTAAAACAGTGAGTATGGTACTTTGGATTTTCTTTTTTTCTTTTTTTTCTAATGGATCTCACTTGTACTTTCTTCAGGCTTTCTGCATTTTTGAAGGGCATGTAATTAAGTTAGCAAAATACCCTTTACTTTGTGATTTGTCCAGTGGTGACTTAAGAGCAAAGGAAAGAAAGTGAAGGTTGAAGAAAAGCACAGATCAAGAAAAGAAGATTCCTACAAAAGGATAAGCTCTCACATGGAACACACAAAGACGGATCACACTGACATATTTTAATTCAGCGGCCCTTTTTCCCACTTCTAATTTGACGTTTTGATTGATATATTATGAAGACAGATTACAAAAATACGGATTAAAATAACAAGAGACCACCTGCAGATTCTCTGATGATATATTACAGTAAAGATCTAATGCACAAAATTACAAAAATGAAACGGATGAAGTAAATTGCTTCAAAAGGAAAAAAAAAATCCCAAATCAAGTTCGATCTAGTTGAAGAACGATACAAAGAAACAGACCTGATTACAGACCCACTTTAATGTTAAATTTCCCCATCAAATCAGAAATCAAGGAAAAAAAATTAAAAAGACAACCTTTAAGCACATAATCACACCGCCGGCAGGAACACAAGCCGCCCACCGAAAAAAAAATCAAAACTTTATATTTCAAAAGGTAAAAAATGCACAAACCCACATCATCACATGTCCACCAAACGCGTATAAACAGAGTTAGTGTCGATAATTTATGCAGCAAAATCAAATCGAAAGCCCGGTAGCAGAAAACGGCAAGGTAAATGACAACGGAGGGTAAAATGGTGATGGGTCTAAAAAGTAAAACCTTGTCTATGGCGAGTTCACGGAGGAGGATAACGATTAACGCCGGCGGTTTTGTCTCTACAAACTGTATGTAGCCATCGTTGAAATTGTTCCTTCGGATTCAAAAACACGGTTTCGGGCTGCTACATGCCTTCAGCCTCTCTCTCTCTCTCTCTCTCTCACTCTCCCTCTCTCTCTGCGCTAATCTCTCTCTCTCTAGAGACTCTCAGCTCTCTGTGTAGGGCTCCACACACCTTGTTAAATTAAATAAATAAAACTACTTCACGGGCTCCTCTTGATGTTGCCCTTTTTCCCCAAAAAAAAAAAATAAAGAAAATTAAAGTGATAAGAAGAAATAAAGATAGCATTTTTTTGTTTGTTTTTCTATTTTTCTTTTAATTTTACTCTTTAACCCCATTTTTAGTTTTCCAGTTCTATGTAGTGTGGATCATTTTCAATTCTACTATGCTGCAATAATAGAAGTTAGTTATTTTATTGAGTTATATAGTTTGCACAATAATACTGATGTATAAATCTCAATTTAGAATTGTAAAGCCCAATTTCTAGGTTTGCGTGTTCGGTTAGAAAGCAAAATAATCACAAATTTACTTTCTTTGCAATTTTGCATAGATTTTGTTGAAAATTCCCTTGTAGCAATTTTGGCAAATTTTTAGATATAAATTTTGCTACACTAGTTATATACCTTTGAGAATATGCATTCGAATTTGAATATATGTATATCAAATCAAATTTTATTCCTCTAATATTTATTTTACATGAATTATAATTTCATTTATTGATTGATGTGTATTAAATATTTAGTGTAGTGAAAACTGAAAGTCTAGTACTATTAGAGATGTTCTGACTATAATATCCATCAATTAGATTAAATTATGAATAATGATTTTTTTCATCTTCTTTAAATGGAAATATTTTATAACTCAAGTATTCCTATTTGAAATGTTGGGTCCCTAATTAATTAAATTAGGGACATTTAAATATGAGTGGATTTTCCTTCAGTAAATTGCCTAATTACACTTTTATAGCAAGAAATTTAGATATGCCACTTGAATATGAGTGGATTTTCCTTTAGTAAACAAATTCTTCTCAATTTATTTGTTCATAATTCAAAGCAAGCCTTTTGATTTATTACCAACAACCATGCCAATGTATAATTAAGGCAAAAAGAAAAAGAAAAAGAAAACTCTTGGTCAACGGTCTTCTATTGGGTTCTCAAAGGTCATTACCGCTAGTCAGCTTAAGGATCCGATATCACGGGCCTCCAATATTAGTCAAATTGACAATTAGCAGATAATTATCTGTTTAGCACAATACAAACAAATCCAGATTTAGGACAATATAATATCTTTTACAAGTCATGCGTGTCTCTATAGTTTTCCACCTAATGCTAATTGCGCGACAATTATCATGCGACTGTATAATTTGTTGACTTTTATGTGATTTTGACATAATTATTGGCTCATAGCAAAATTGAGAATGAATTTATGGTTCCACTATATCATTATTTTGTCAACTAATGTAAAACAAACAGATATATATAACTAATATTTTTACCTATTTATTGTGGATTTTCGTGTGTGTTTGTGTCAACTAGAGGGGCCTCAATTTTATAAATGAAATATGGAATTTTTTATTTTTTTTTACAAAATTTTCAATTATAATAAATAAGTAAAAATGCATCATAGTTAGTAATACATTGAGGTTACGTTAAGGATAATCTGTTTAAAGCGGGTAGAGTAGAAAAGGTTAGATTCAAATCATAAACGGCAGATCTTGTTCACATATCACAATTTTGTGACTTGATAATCAATATAACATTGTAACAAGGGTTTGGTGAACTTTTATTGTAACTTTTTTTTTTATTATTATTAATATTATTGATAGTACTTGCCTTTTTCTTTCTTATTTTCGTCTGATAACTGGTTTAATTTGACTAAGTACTTGGAAGTTGTAGTAAACAGTTCAGATAAAAAATAAATCCAAATTTAAATAGATCGATAAATAAAAAATAAAAGTCAAATCGTTTTTTAGAGTTCTATGAGCCAACCCATCAAATCGTATGTAATTTTACATCTCCATCTCTATAAATAATATTTTTTTATATTGTCAAATGGTCAGACAATATAATTATATATTTTAAATAAATGTATATTTCTTACACGTAGTAAATATTACACATTAAGCTACAATATACACAAAAATACTATATTCCTTAAATATAAATTTGATGAAAAACTAGGAAGTCCCATTGCAGACAACATTTGTGTTTAATTAGTTGTTAGTTGTTACATATTAAAGAAGTTGGTCGATTTATTTATTTATTTTTAATTTTGCCTTCCTTAAAAACCTATTTAATTTATATCACATTTTACATCAACAATCATGCAGCATGCACGCTACATATAATTATAATTTAATTATATAGTATTACATATTGACTCCTTTTGGTATGAAAAAAAACTACACAATAAGCTCTTGAATTAGTTAGGGGCACATGTCAAGTACTCATAAAACATAACTTTAAACTAAAGGAGATAAGCATGCCTTAACCAACTTATTTTTTCCAGGCCAACCGAAAGATCAAAATAATAAATTAAAGTCTGTGAAAAATATTAAATAAAATTCCTTTAGGTAAGTAAAATGATTTATCTAACTCACCAAATTTAGATACATTTATTAAGGCCTCTTTGTGTTTGTGTATGCTTTAGTGGTTCAATGCAATATTCTAAGATCTTTTTAATTGCAATATAATTTAATTCAGTATGATTATTGTTAGATAAAATCTAACAAATAGATAAATAAAAGTATATTATTTCATAGCATAAGTATCCATTTTTATTATAAAAAGTAACATGTTAACCCGTCTATGGATTAGGTTACCTTTTTATATAAATTTGTGAAATTAATTAATTCTGGCTGTTGCCGAAGGAGAACAAACAAGCACCAGAAATCCAATTTTACGTTCTCTTATCTTTTGGTAACTTGATTTTTTCAAAGTGGAGCTTTAGGTATCTTTTCATGAAGATCTGTTTATTATTGCAATAGAAATTGAGAAATTTGCAAGTTGAGTGTGAACTGTGTGATAATGACTTTTGATTTAAAAATGTATTAGGGTTTTAGACTTTGAGGTCAATAATATGATATGAACAACTGTTGAGAAAAGTTAGTAGTGACTGTTGTAGAATGTGGGTACTGCTACAAAATAGAATCATCTTTGACTTGTGAATAGATAGGAGCAGATTAAATGGGCCTTGTCTTTTGATGTACTTTCTATATTTGGGCTTTCATATGGAAAGCATAAGGCCCAGCAAGTAGAATTGCATCTCACAAGACACTACAAGACACTACAAATAAGTTGGAACCGAAATAAAAACTAGGCTATAACTAAATAAGATAACTTATAACATATTTGGTTAGCTTATAAGTTTTTTATATTCAAATAAGATTTGTTTGGTAGGACGAGTTTTTTAAAAAGTTTGAGCTTATCTCATAATCTTCATTGGGTATCTTTTCAAATAAGGTCATTAAAATTTAATTTCAGCTAGTTTATTAACTAATTTTACCAAACACTTTTATCATATAAGTTAGTTTTTCAGCCATAATTCATAAGATATAAGTTCGAAAATCACTTATAAGCTATAAGTTAGCTTATCAGCTATCAGCTAGCTTATCGACTAGTTTTACCAAACATAGCCTTAGACTACTTTATAAGTGACCAATTTGGATATAGGTCACTTGTCCCACATGGGATAAGTGTATTTTTTAGATTAGATGAAAAAAATATTTTTTTTAGTTTACTTTATATTAGAAATAAAAAATACTAAAATTCGTATTTTTCTATTCTCTGTAAATAGATACCACATTTGATAGGTTTTGGAATACAATTGCAATTTCTATATTAGCACTTTTTCTCTAATTATTTTTTGAAATCATTACAATTTTAATTATAGAATTTTTTAATTAATTTATCACAACTAAAATAATAACAGTAATCAATAGTAGATAATGGATAATAAATAAATAAAAATAAAATAAATATTTTAAGTTGGATTGGGTTGAGAATAAAAATAAATTGGGTTGCTAAGTTGGGTTTTTAAGGGAGAGAGAAATAATTTTTATTTATTAAGTTGGTTAGGTTGGATTTGAAATAAAGATAGTCTAATAGTGAGTACCAAGAAATCCATTCTTTAAATTACATAAAACAAAAATTACAGTACTACACTATCCATCCATCTTATGTTTCTCTATTTATTATTATACTGATATTTTCCAATACAATATTTAAATAAAAATCAATACACTACACAATTATATATCCATATACATATTATTCACTCACTCACTCAATCACTCACTCACGTATTTATTACTATTAATTACTATTTTACTATTTTTCAAACATATCATGATTAATTATTACTCCCTCCTATTCATAATAAGTGTCTTTTTGGGAAGTTGCACACTAATTAAGAATAATTTTTTTGCCAATAAGAATGTTTTAAAAAAAAAAATGAAGAGAATATGATAAGACGTAGTGTATTTATTAACTAAATGAGGGTAATAAACTAATAATGAAAAAATATATACAAAATATCCAAAACGACATTTATTTTGATTAATAGTTGATAAAGCCAAAATGACATTAAAAAGAATAAAAGGTAATATTTTTGTATCACATCTGCTCATTTTTTAAAAGAAACGTTAATTCTGCAATCCATTTTCATTCACAAAACAAAAATTTCACTTAAATAAAAATTTATACAATCACATATTTGCTCATCTTCCATTGTTCACCAATAATGTCCAATCAATCAATTGATTCAGTTACAATCATTTTATTTTCCTTCATTTTCCCATAACAATAGTTTGTGGTTAGCCCTATAATTAAGAGCACAGTGCAACATTTAATTCTATAACATTTTGAGTGAAATCCAAATTCTACAAAATCCAAAATTTTAATTTAATTATGTTAGTAGATAAATGATTTTTTTATTTATCTGATACTGAATAATTTACCAAATTAGCTAGTTTAAATGGCTAACTGAATTGCATAGGACATACGTTAGGCATATCTAACGATTACATCACAATTTTTATTTTTCAATAGGTATTTTATGATTGATCAATCAGAGTAACGAAAGATTCGATGCTGCATGTGGGGCAGTGCACCGCATGCCTTTTCACATTTAATTTACACACTCTCACACACACACACACCAGTGTGGGTGTGTGTGAAATCAAAGATGAAAAAATATCTGGAGGCACTACTCTCACATGCAGCATCGAATTTTTCCAAGAGCAACAATCCACAAGAACTGTCATGTCACTTTTGTACAATAACTAATGGTAGATAAAGAAAGGTATCAATAACCAAACCTATAATTTACCACCATCTTGTCAAATAAGAGTCCTTTTATGTCATATGTTAACCTTAAATGCAAAACTGTTTGCTATATAAAATGACAAGGAATAGCTGATTAGGTAGTATGATTTTTAATATGTTACACATTATTGGTTTCCTCACTTTTGCCCTCATTATTAGCTTCTTTTTCAGCAGCCTCTTTATTTTTTCCCCATATGACGAAGTACAAGCCTCCAACCAGCAAAATTCCTCCACAAATACTGCACCAAATAATAAAAACAATTGAAAATAAATTATAATTAAGCTGTTACTATGTTTTAGATTGTTAGGCAAGATAAACGGTCAAATTTTTTTTTTTCAGTAAATATGCATATTTTCAAATTAAAAAGACATATTATTCCAAAAAATAAAGTGTCAATCCAACTAACGAAATTAAATTACCAACCTTCCCAAGTAGAGCATCTCTTTCCAAATTACAGCTGAGAGGATAGCAGTAAAAATGAGAATCAATGGGGTAAAAGTAGCAGTAAAAAGAGGTCCTTTTTTCTCCACAGCCCATAATTGCAGCCAGTAACATATTCCAGTTACTAATACACCCTGCAAAATAATTTCATGTAATTAAATGATTTTTTCAGAGATAAAAAGAATCAATGAATAAGTCTAGTTCAATTTCTTGTGTNTTATTGTTTAGCATGCAAATGGAGTTTGGAAAAGACATTGTGGAATAAATATCTCAGAGCACAAGAAATTCAGATTTAATTTCTTTATAAGATTTAATGATCCGAATGTGACTCTATCACATTAGTAGCAACAATTTTTTTCGAGAAAAGTAGCACATTTGAACTGATCGGTATATGTAAATGTTGCTGTTAAATTGTCTAAATGTAAACAGTCTATATTTCTCACAAAAAAATGTATATTATATTGTTACTATAAAATTAATATGTCATATTTTTGTTTATGTTAGTACTATTGTCTATCCAATAATATCTATTATTCTTTAGTAGTGAAAAAAATGAAAAGTTTGGGGGCACATACGCAATAAACGAGAGTAAAGAGATTGAAATCCCAATTAAGTTTCCATGAAGAGAAGTCCCTCTCAATAGCCACTGCCCAAATTGAAGTCTGAATGCAGCTAAACAAGCACTGCAGCATTGTGAGCCGAAATTTTGCTGGATATTGCCTCACCACAGGTCCCTAATTAATTAATTAACACAATGAAAAAAATGAAATAAACAAGTGTTATCACCAATTAATTTACTAACTAACTAATGGGATTTGGATGATAAATAATGTACTTATTTTGCATAACATCTCCAATGCTTAAAGATTCGAATTTCGAGCAATATGTATAAACGCAAGGAAAATTAGATCATATCCACTTTAATTCAATATTTTAAAATGTGTCACACACACATATATGAGTGTGAAATTTTTAGTTGAAATAATAACTTTATGTTGAATCATTGGGTTGATGGAAATTGCATCTTTTATATCGGATGATGTTGAAGCTTCAAATTTCATAAAGTTAAAAGTGAAATTAACAATTTTTCAGGGAAACTCTCGAAGGACACGACGTATGAAGTCATTCACAATTTCTTTTAATTGTGTATTGGTACATATCCTAAAATACACACATTTGTGATACGCGTCAATGTATGAATGACTACATAGAATTTATGGTGTGATTACTTATATAAGTGCACTTTAAAAGTGTGTTTGGTAAGCACCATATTTACCTTTTACCTTATTTGGTTAGTTTAGAATAAGTTTTCTTAACTCAAATAAGTTCGGTATGGTATGACGATGTTTTTTAAAAAGCTCGATAATGTATCATAAGTTTTTTTGTGTAGCTTTTCAAATAAGTCAATTGAAATATTTATTTCAGTTGACTTATCTACTAATTTTAGCAAATACTTTTATTATATATATATCAACTACTTTTTCAGTTATAAGACATAAACTATCAACTAAAAATTTGAAATTTACTTATAAAATATCAGCTAGTCTGTCAGTTAAATTTAACAAACATAGCCATGTAATAATCCACGGGGAAGGTCCACTTTTGGTCCTCCATGTTTAGGGGGTATCCAGACTGAGTCCCTATTATGTTTTGGTGCCCAATTTTAGTCCTTAAAACAAAAAAATGTAGTCCCTATAATTGGAAAAAATCCACTTTTAGTCCTCCATGTTTAGGGGTATCCAGATTTAATCCCTATTATGTTTTGATGCCCAATTTTAGTCCTTAAAACAAAAAAACGTAGTCCATTTACCTCAATTTATGTGAATTAACGGTCCATTTTTGCTCGACTGTTATGTTCTTTATTTTTTTAAAATTTGTTGACTAATGTCAACCTTGACCAAAGAAAAATAAAAGAAAATTTAAATGCTGAAAAAGTAAAATAAAAGGCAGAAATAGTGAACTGCAGTGAAACGTAAAAAAAAAAAAACCCCTAACCGCCTAGGGACTAAATCCGATCAAATGGATGGAAATGGTGTGGTATTTTGTAGATGTGAGCTGGTTGCAAAGTTGACTACATGCTGGAAGGATGATAATCTCGGGAGAAGATTCTTGAGTTGCCCTCTATATCCTGTAAGTACTTTCCGTGAACTTCAATTGGAATATGATAAGAAATGGTTAAAAAACAGAGGGTTGATAGGTGCAATTTTTTTCGATGGCATGACCCGAAAATGGGTGCAAGAGCATTAGCTGTGATTCCAGGCTTGCTCTGCAGCGCGAATGCTAGGGAAATAGAAATTAGACGAGCAAAAATTTTAATTTAATTTAGTGCAATTTCTTGTTTTAGTTTAATTTTTTATTAATATATTTTCAGCATTTAAATTTTCTTTTATTTTCTTTGGTCAAAGTTGACATTAATCAACAAATTTTAAAAAAATAAAGAACATCACAGTCGATAAAAAATGGACCGTTAATTCATAGAAATTGAGGTAAAGGGACTACATTTTTTTTTTGACTAAAATTGGGCACCAAAACATAATAGGGATTCATTTTTTTATTTTAAGGACTAAAATTGGGCATCAAAACATAATAGGGGACTCAGTCTGGATACCCTCTAAACATGGAGGACCAAAAGTGGACTTTACCCATAATCCACTATGTATGTTTTTCCTTGCATATAATAAGTAAAATAAATATATGCAAAAGTGACATTGACTCATGCATCACATTGTTAATATCTCTTAAGATTTATTCTTTTACTTCTCAAATTAGCATCCAGTCTCAAAGGGATAGACACTTCTTATTTTAAAATCATTTTCCATTTACTGGTTTATTGCATAGTTAAATGAAGGACTGAGTGTCCATGGTGACATCACAATTATACACGTGTCAATCGTGTCAATCATTTAATGGAATGCAAAATTAGAACATCAATTTAAAACATGAAATCTTATCCTAGTATCAATTGTGTGTGCACAAAATTTTGCAATTTTATGTTTTTCCCTTTTTAAGAAATCAAAACTNAAAAGCCAAAAACGAAGAAAGTTAAAAGTCTAGACAGCAATATTACCAGCATGACGAGCCAGCCGGCCCAAGCAATGTTGGCTAACAACATGAGCAGACAACCTTGTACCCATTTCTCTTTGTCCATTCCTAAATTTTTATTGGGCTTATTCTCTTGGACACCATTAAACAAGCCCAATAAATTGACTTTTGGCCCTTTAACAAAAGCAAAAACCATGGACCCTGAAAGGCTAATCATAGAGCCCACAATCTTGAGCATTCCTGGAAAATCCCTCACTGAAAAACTTTCAATCCTGCGTAGGCCCAAAAAATAAAAGAGGTAATAAAAATATTGTTATTTTATTGAGGACAATATAACAACCGAATAATTAAAATTGATTAATTTATCTTTCTATTTATTTATTTATTTGATTTTTTCAATTTTGTAATAGTACCTGAAAGCAACAGCAATCACAAAAGTAAGGGCAGGGATTGTGTTAATGCTGGCTGAAGCAAAAGTTGCAGAGACATAATTTATTGCATAGGAATAGAGATTGAGACTCAAAGTGATCCTGAAAAAAAATGTTGATTATTATTATTAGTGCTAAGACATGAAATAATTCATCAAATATATTAATGTATATATAAATTTATAAATAAGGACATAATAAAATTTCATCTACGTATGTACGTTTTTGCTATGTTCATACCCAAACAAGGAAAGCAAGAAAACCTTCCAGATAAGGCCATATGACATCCCACCAGTTTGTTTTCTATGCCAAACAAAAAATCAATTAAAACAATATTAATTCCCATTTGTTTAATGTTTGGAAGATGAAATTCAAATTCAAATTCAAAATTTGAAACTCATGGGTTGTATTTGAATAAAACAATTTGAATTTGCAACGTACGATCATGTCCCATTTATACTAAAAAGACTGAAGTTGTTAAATAAGAGCGAAAACTTTTATACAAATACAACTAAAAACACTGATAACAAGTAATAACAACTTATACAATATAAAATCTCTAGCTATAATATAATAAAAAATCACACTTATATATATTACTAATAAAAAAAATAATAATGAACCTGTCAAGGAAAAAGGCAAATGGAGCCAAAGCTACTGTAGCAAATGCCTGACGATAAGCAACAAATACAAAAGGACTCATTCCATTTGAAATGGTGATTTTAGAAAACATGGACATGCCTGCATATGCAAGCTGCACAAATATCATACCCAAACAAGGCTTATGTTTTTCCAAAAATATTACAATCCCATTTGCCTTTGCCATTTTTGGCAAACCTTNGTGCTCTAAATGGGTGGGTTGATTAAGACTGTTTTTTTTTTTATTTTTTTATTTTTTAGCAAAAGTTTGGATTAGAGAAATTAATATACAAACTCATAAATGAAGACAAATATACAAATTAATTAGAATTATCAGAAAAATCATATAATTAAGTAATTAAAATAATAAAAAGTGTTATTAACTCAATTTATTCTTGTCGAGTTCATTTAATTAACTCACCAGTGACAAGAAACCACTGCACCCTATAAAGAATGGGTGAAAGGGAAGTGCATATTAGGGACATAATTAGCAGTGACGCAAAAAAAAGTGATAATTTTGCACACTGTTTTGTTTTTATTTTGATTTTTATTTTTTAATTATGCACTATGAATAATCATACGTACTGTGGGAAGGGCATTTTGAAGAGACATTTTACCAATATATTCCTATAATGTTTCCTTAGGTAAGTTTTATATATGCCTTCAATTATTGATACTAAACTTTCTCCTTTTTTTTGACAATGTGTGGTGAATCGATGTGCACTACTAATTAAGTACAATCTACCCAAAGTTAAAATAAAAAGGAAAGAAAAAAAAATAAAAAGAAAAAACTCACAAGCACAAATGATTGTAACAACATTAGTATTCAAAAGTATGAGTGTTGATATATAAAATCTTTCATTAATTGGACTAAAAGTTTCTTTGAATTTCAATTGAAATTTGACGACTCCAATAATATTTATTGTTGTAGGAATTTGTATTTAACTATGCAATTTTCATTGAAATTATTTATCCAGTAAATAATTTAACTGTTAAAAAAATTATTGTTGCAGTCATTAAAATCTAACAGCAATACCAATAGAACATTTCCATAGGAAATGTTGCTAGAATTGAACACAACTCATAATATTGGAAGATTCATTCAAGTTACTGTTTAAATTCCATTCGAGTAAATTTACCTTGGATATTTTTGTTGGAATTATATGATTTTCTAATAATCAAAGTTGGAAATTAATGACTAGTAACTTGGGTAGGCAACAAATTTATTCTGAACTTTTATAATTATAGAAAATATCCACCCACTAATAAAAATTACTCTTAATATATATTGCGACAAAATCTAACTACTGCACGTGATTCAGCATAATGTTCTTGATTAATTAGATTTAGTAAATCATTTTTTATAATTGTAAAAATTACTTACAATTTATCACTTGTCCCAAAACTTCGGATATTTCTTTTGGGGCAATGGTGGCAGAAGTTGCTCGTCAAATTAAAAGCCATTAATAGAGGAACAATAAAAGATGGTAATGGAATATTGTTGTCCAAATCTTGTTCTTTAGGTCTTATCATTAATTGTGTCAAAATNAAAAAAAAAAAAAAATGTTAGCCTATATGTGCTAATTAATTTTTTCTCCATATTAAGTGCACTCTACTGTTCTAAAGTCTTTCTGCTCGTATTTTGGGTTCCTTACATTATAAGCACGTTTCTTCTATACAGTTTTCATTGTACCATACAATTTTTTTTTAAAAAAAGATATATTTTCCACACATTTTGTTTTTTTAATAAAAATATTTTAATTATAAGCCCAGTGGCATATTAGTACATACACACACCCGAGTGTATATCTATATGTGATCTGACGGCTCAAAATTCGATGTAGACAATGTCGAATTATCCAACACTTCATCACGATGGAGTGTGATAAGGATTTTCACCCTAGCTAATATAAGATAGCATTTGATAATATGAATCCCAAAAGAAAGATACTTTTGCTTTTGTGAAGGAGTATGTGGTGTCAAAAGTCACAAATTGGAAGAATAAATTTCTGAGTGAGGGAGGGAGGGAAATATTAGTGAAAACAGTTCTTGCAGACATGTCTACTTTTGTTATGTCAGTGTTTAGATTACCATTAGGGGTGTGTAGAGAAATCTGTCAAATTATAGGCAAATTCTGGTGGGGAACTAAGGAAGGAGGGGATAAAATTTACTGGATGAGATGGGATAGACTAGCTCAACCAAAGACTGTAGGGGGTTTGGGGTTTAAAGTGTTTGAGGATTTTAATGTAGCTCTCATTACTAAACAACTTTGGAGGGTTATGACTAGACCTAATTTGTTGATGAGTAGGGTGATAAAAGGGAGGTATTCCTGGTTGTGGAAGGGGTGGCTAGAGGCTAGGTGGGTGTTGGATCTAGGGGCTAGGTTTTTGGTGGGGGATGGTCAATCTATTAGTATCTGGAAGTCACCTTGGATTCCAAAAGCTGGTAATTTCAAACCTTCTTGTCTTTTTTCATATGATCAGCACAGATTGGTTAAAGTGGCAGATCTCATGAAAGGTAGCAGAAATGTGTGGGATGAAGACTTGGTGAGGCAAACATTCACACCAGAGGATGCTGAGAAGATCTTGAGCATTGAGATTAAGAGGAGGGGTCACAAAGATAGACTAATATGGCATCATAGCAAATCAGGAGACTTCTCAATGAAAAGTGCCTACAATGCTATTCAAAAAAAGAGGCTAGAAGAGAAAGGGTTGGTGGAGAGCAGCACAAGAGGACAAGCACAGGAGAGGATGTGGAAACGAACATGGAATTTGCCTATCAAGCCTAAGATAAGACACTTTATGTGGAGGTGTTACCACAATTGTATAGGCACTATGAGTAATTTGTGTAGCAGAGGGGCGGTGGAGGATGACAGGTGCAGAGGATGTGGGGAGGAGAGAGAGACATTAGAGCATATATTGTTTACCTGTGGCAGAGCAAGGAGGGTATGGAAATTAGCAGGGGTTTTTTTGGGAACAGCTACAACAGCCACATGTGGATTTCAAAGGATGGTGGGAGGAGGTCAGTACCTTAAAACTCAAAGGAAGTGGAAAGGATAGAATTTCATTGTCAACCTATATCATGTGGTGGTTGTGGACTACGAGAAATGGTTGGATATTCAATCAAGAATGGGTGGCAGAGAAGCAGGTAGTAGACAAAGCATACAAGGAATGGCTGGAGTTTGAAGGTGTTAATGAACCTAGTAGAGGAGCGGCTGGCAGGTTGCAAGAAGTAGGGGCTCAGGTGTGTGAGCTCAGTGCTAATGTAACTGTTGTAGGGACTGGGTTAGTGAAGGGATTGGCTTGGCACAAGGACAAATTGGTTCAGAGTTGGAAGGTTCAAGAATCTCAGATCCATCAGATTGGAGGACAGGAGCTCAAAGGCTTACAAGAGTGGTTATTCTTAGGCAAAGAAGCTGGGTGGCAAGCTGTGGAAGTTCAGGTCAATGATGAACATCTCAGAAGCAAACTTGTGGAAAGACAAAATGTTACCTGTGGGGATGTTATATTGACACATGATTTTTATGGCTTAATATCTTGCTTTAATTCTTGTTCTTTTGTAGCAGTGCTTAGCAGGGATGAAATTGATGTGGCTTGCACTTAGTTTGTAGTTTTTGCTTGTTTTTTACTTGTTTGGCCTAGTTGGTTGTGTAGGGGGTTCATTGTGTAATCCCTCGTGTTAACTCTTATCTGGTCTGTCATGTAAGGTGTTTAATTTGTAGCCGGTTGGCTATGCGTATGTATATTCTGAGTTTTCTTTTAATGAAATTTGATGTTGAAAAAAAAAAAAAGGAATTCCAATTGGTGTCAAATCAAAGGACAAAACAAGTTTAATTGGAAATGTACCATGGTTACAAACTTCAAGCGAGACACTTATATCAATTCCTGATTCGTTATTAAAAAGAAAAAAAAAATCACTTGAATTCTACTATTCATATCTCCATACATTCGTACAGAGCAATTCACACTTTCAATTTGTTACATAAAATGAATATTGTATGCAATGTAATATTTCAAATGATTTTATAGTCATGGTTGGAAATCCACGATATACATTACAATAAGTCAACAAGTGATTGTAATGTAATGTAATGTAAGTGACCTAAAAATAAAAATAAAAAATAAAAAACGTCAACAAGTGACCTATTAATGAATATGGGGCAATTAGTAAGACGTACAGTGCGATGAGCCTGGCCCATTTTATTGAGCATGAGAATCATATGGGCTAATGATTAAATTATGGGCTCCGGTTCAGAAACCATTTTGAATACGTTATCAAAGCCCATAGAAACAACAGAGACTAGGTACGCCCAATTGTTTGTGGATAAACTCATAAAACTGTATTCATATATTTATGTTATACATTCCCAAAATTTACCATCATCCTTTGTTTTAATCACAGAATCTTAACTATTTAGGTTGATCAAGTCGTGATATATTCATTGATCAATAAAAAATATTTATATTATCAAATGTTTATTTTCTCGGTACAATATTTGTGTTGTTTCCTAAAGTATGACATCTCTTCTGATAAATATATACAAACTTTTCAAAAAAAATATATCAACATAATAGATAAGTCGGGAGGAACTTTGCTTGGTTTTAATTTTCATCCTTCACGGTCGGTCGAATTCTTTAGTTCTATTATTCTTATTCAATATATTCGTGAGTAAGGTATATTTAAGCATCAATTACTTTTGGAGAATGAATTAACACATAAAACCACGTTGAGATTCTTTAAAATATAAAAGAAAGGTGCATCAATATATTTCTCTAATTAATGCGAGACATGGTCCCTGGGGACATATATATAACAGTTAATGAATGAAAACTGGAAAATTGTCCCCGAAGTTCAATTAATGATAGTTGAAATTTAAGAAATTGGAATAAATCTTGTGCACACAAATATTCAAATATTCTTAACTGGAAACCCTCTGTGTAATATAATACTAGCATTTAGTGTAATGGTTCAATATATATGTCTGTGGAATCAAACTATCACAAATGAAGTCATATACAATTATATACAAGAAAAAGTTGTATTAACTAGTCCTCCTGACCTGTCTGTTGTGGCCTCTCCGAAGACGTACTTGACCTTGTCTTGAGGTCTAGCCCGACCTCACCCTCAGGTCTAACTAGTCCTAAGACCAGTCTTTCTAGCTGTTTCTTAGGCTATATCAAAGGTATATTGCCTTTCGTTAATTTTCTTTATGACAATACATTTAGTATATGCATGTTTATTGCGTTAACGAATTTTACGCGATTGAATGAAAATACGACTGAATCAAATGCGACTGAATCGAACATATTTGATTCGACAATTTAGCAGCCTCTATGCTAGGACATTGTTCTTCTGACAAAAACCAAGCTCGACTTGACTTGAATTAACTTTCTTTTGTAATGTCATAGTTAGGAAAGCACGCCTCATTGGTTATCAACACATATAAATATCACTAGTAACAAAGGAACAAGGAAGCATATGCATGAAATGGCAGGCTTTTCTTCCTAACTGCTTTGAAGAATCAGAAGCAACTCTTCATGGTGTACATCATGCTTTGTGGATTGCTTTTCTGAAGAACTGGAAGGAGCTTGAGGTGAGCCTTGATGATGAAGCTTCTGCATTGCACCTGAAGACCACTCATTGCTTTGCTGGTGTGAAGAAAAACATTGCTGATAATATTCTCATTTTAGCAGACTTATTTGTATCATGTTCATTTCAGTTTTCTTCTTTGGACTTTTCCTGTGTAGCTTCTTCTTTAGCCCTTGAGGCTGTGTCATCTCCTTGTAGCCATGAATGGCATTGTTAATGCTTAGGTGTAAGGTTCTCTTACTTCTTTGCCTTTTTGTGATCAGTGGATCACCGATTGTAAGACGCTTTTCTCAGTTTTGTGAGTGAATATTATCTATCGTTCGACAAAAAAAAAAAAAACAACCCAAGTTTACACACAAAGATTACCTACATTTACTTCATGATTACAGGTTGGTAATTAGAAGGGTTTCATATCCCTTTAGACAATTAGCCTATTTATTAATCCCACGAGCTCATCATGACCAAAACATCATGTACCGCGGTACCGTTGTACANCCAAATTTATTTATTTATTTATTTATTCCCAAAATTATAAATTTAACCACAAAAAACCAAAACCCATATAAAATAAACATATATAAAAAGAAAAAAGAAAAAAAAATTACCCCTACATCCCTACATCATACCTTTTAACCCCTCCGTAACTTTTTCCTCCCCATTTTTAATCGTCCTTGAATAATTTTCTTTTCACCCATTCTGACACAAAAGTATACTCTCCCTTCATCCTATTCTCTCACGCCTTACTCCGCCGCGTTACCCACTGAAGCCGCCGGCTGCTGCTGGGGCTGCTTGCTCGCCATAATCTCATATGCCGCCGCCGCCGCCTCGTCATCATCCTCATCCTCGTCATCATATTCCTCATCATCATCCTCATCCTCCTCCTCGTGACTGTGTTTGCTCTCGTTACCATGCATCATCATCATCACCGGATTCACCCCCTGCTGCTCGGAAATCGGCCACTGCTGTTCGGGCCGGGCCATTATCGCCGCTGGCATCCCACCTTCGGCCCGCCTCGGCCCGCTTCCCTTTTCCCTGTAAATCTCCTCAAGCTGGTGGAAATACGGACACGTCTTCGAATCCTCGGGCCTCGTCTTCTTACTCTCCTTCACCTTCTTATAGTATTTGTTAATATTCTCCCACTTCTCCTTGCACCTCTTGGCGCTCCTCCGGTAACCCAGCTTCCCCATCTCCCCCGATATCTCCTCCCACAACGGGCCCTTCGGCCCGTTCTCCTGATACTTCATTTCCATCCCCATCCTCAGCTTTATCAGCGCCTCCACCTCCGCCTTCGGCCACCTGGACGATCCCCCCGCCGCCGCCTCTGCTTCCGGTGGATCCGCCGCCGCCGCCGCCGGAGGAGCCGGCGGCGGCTTATCGGGGTTCATCGGAATCTGCAGATTCTGCTCCCGGGCGACTTTCTGCAGAAGTGCAAGCACGGCCTTATCTTTAGCGGCGGCCGCGGACCGCTCTTGGGCCAGAAACTCGCGCTCCCGGCCAAACCGGGCTGCCTCCTCGGCCCGCCAAGCTTCATCCCGGGCGGCCCGTTCGAGCTCCCGCCGCTCGAGAGCTTCTAGAAATCGATTCTGCATCTCCTCCTGCTTCCGAACAATCTCACCCACGAGCCCTTCGAAGTATTCCTCCCAATTTCTCTTCCGGCGGCGCCGCCGCCGCTCCATCTGCATGTCCTCGTCTGAAGAGGTTGAGGAGGACGGCGGAGGAAAAGGTGGCGCGGCTGAGATTGGGGGGATTATGGTTAGCGGAGTTGGGCTGTTGGAGGAGGAGGCGGTGATGTTGGGTGGGATGATTTGGAGGTTGGGCGGCGGTGGAGGTGGAGGTTGGGCGGCGGTGGTTGGCGGAGGGCGCGGAGGAGGAGGAGGAGGGGCGGCGGCCACGGAGGAGGACTCGAAGGCCTCGAGCTGGTCGAAAAAGCGGTAGCTCTTGCCGTCGGGTTTGGCCGCGCGGCCGTCTTTTGTCCGCTTGTGGTATTTGTAGACGTTTTCGAATTTCTCCTTGCACTTTTTGGCGCTGCGTTGAAATCCGAGCTCCGCCATTTTTCTGATTATAATATAATTTATTTTTTCAGTTGATGATTGATAATTAGAGTCCAATTGTGTGCAGATTGAATGGAGTAATTTGATTGTGATGAACACATAAAATAAAGAGGAAGATAGCACATGAAAAGTAACTGGACTGGCTCAAGAGTAAAGAAAAAAAACAATAAAATTGGTTGTTTGTTGAAATAGATCATATTTTTACTCAATTTTTTTTCTTTTTCTTTTTAGTTTTAATTTACATGGGTCCACAGGAAAAGAGTTATTGAAAATGGCGGTGCTTAAACTTATCTCTATTTGTGGAGACATTATTGCAGTGGTTTCTGGGCAAAATCATGTCCATGAAAATTGTTATGAGCAAAAGCAGAAATTAAAAAATAAAATAAAATAAAATAAAATAAAATAAAAAAAGTGGTTGGATTCAGGCTGAAGGAAAATGAAAAATCAATATTATTCCTCCAGCTAATATTATGCTATAATTAGCAAGAAAGTGCCAAAACTCCCTACCAGAAATTCAAAGGGGGGACTCGAATTGAATTCCTTGAAAACTGCTGAATTTTTGTGAAAAAACTTGAAACTGAAAAAACCCCTTTTTAATTCTTAAAAACGATTAGAAAACAAAAATCAAACCATTCAATGAAACTCGTGATTAATTAAATGAAATGAAAATACAGATTTTTTTTAAAAAAAAGTTTAATTACAATTTTCACTGACCTGGAAACTTCCTCCCATAATGGCCCCTTGAGGCTCGCATCCCTAAAAACGGCGTCCATGTCCGACCGGATTTTCAGCAGAGCTACCGTCTCCTGCCGCGGCCACCGGTTCCCGCCGCCGCCGACACTCCTATCGCTCTCGTCAAATCCCCCGCCGCCGCCCGGATTGATCGGTCCCGGCCCGCCGACCTCGCTGCTGCCCCCGCTAGCGCCGCCGCTCTCCTGGCCTTCTCTCGCCGCCGGCGGGGCTCCGCCTCCGGGAGTGCCCGTGAGGCCTGCGGTCACGCCGAGCATCTTGCAAGAAGGCGGCCAAATTGATTTCTATTTTTTTTTCTATCTTCTTTGGTTGCGATTTTGTGTTTTAATTTGCAGCTATAGCTTATAAGCTCCTTTTGCCGTGACAAATTAACAGCTGAAGAAAAATAAATAAAAGAAAAGAAAAATAAAATGGCAAAATGATGGGTGAATTTCTGTTGTGGGGGGTTTTTATTTATGAAGATAAAGAGTGGGGGTGTGGGTTAAAATTTATTTAATTTTTATTTCGGTGGGGATCTGCCTGTCAATCTCACACTCCTGAAATATATACATTTTTTTTCTTAATACTGATTTTTTTTTTTCTTTTCCTTTTCAAATGAGGAATCTTTAGCATTTTTTTGCTTGCTTCCCCTTCCCTCTTTCTACATAGAAAATAAAAGTTTTTTTTTTCTTTATTTGTTATGTATTTGATAAATCTAATTGATAATGTATGTAATAAGTGATGAGTTGATTAATTTTGATTAATAGTGTATATGTTAATTTTGATTTGAATTTTTGATATGTGATAATTTGTTGTTGATTGCTTAAAAGCTAACTTACATAACAAAGATGTGTAATAAAAAAAAAATCCAACATAATTATTTGAAGCATTGTATAAAAATAAAAAATGCTCTAATATAAGTTTGAGTTTTTTTTTTTAAAATAGAATAATTAAATTAAATTTATTTAAATAGAAGAAACTTATAAGATAATCGAATTAGTTAATATAGAAGCTTATAAGGTAACTGAATAAGTAGTAATCCCTCCTATATATAATTGCAAAATGTGTTGAGCCTAAGTGGCAGGATCTCATGCTTCGGAATTCTATGTGGCAATTTTTTGTGCTTTGTCATTTGGCTTGGATGAATTTTAATTTACTCTAAATTAAAAAATAATTAAGTTTGGATAACCATAAATATACTAGATATTTATGGACATTTTTTAGAGTATTAATATTATATTTCCTATTATAGACGTGATTTATAAGGCATAATTTTTTTTACTCAATCATTCTTTTTTTTCCTCATCTTTCTTCTAAAGTTATGAAAAAAATTACAAAATTAAATTATAAGTAGATTTAAAGTTAATATTTTTAAAATTAAAGTAGATTTAAAAGTTCATACATAATATATCAAATTAATCATGTCTTGATGAGTTTCGATTTGACATCTATATTGTACATACAAAATAAATAAATAATTATTTTTATCATTATAATAAAATGTAAAATACCTATTAATATTAATAAAAAAAATAAAATTGTTTAAATTAGTTTAACTACAAAGTTGTTAATTGATATAATTTGAAAACAACATTATAATATAAAATTGTAAGTAATATATATAAGTGATGTCTGTTATTTTAAATATAAATAGTAATATAGTTACTCAAAAAATATTTTAAAATTAAAACAATTTATTTATTATTATTTTTAATTTTAAATACAAGTTTTTAACAAACACCCGTGTAATACACGAGAGAGTATTGTACTAGTAAATAGTAAAATTAATATAATAACTTTAAGATAACGGACGAAACCAAAAGATTCATCACAAATTTCGAACACATATTGTAGTAACAAAATCATATTAATAGTAACTCAGACTTTCAGATGGGGCGATTGAAATTCAGTGGTCATTTAAATTTAAAAATGTTTATTTTTGGTGATTTCGTATTTATTATTGGTAATGTTAATATTAATAGTAACAAAATGTTTTTTTTTTTTATTAAGTTGCAGATGGCGACGATGGTGATAATAAGAGGATTGGTTTTAGGCTGTCCAGCCAAATATAGTTAGAAGCCGGGCCATGTAGGTCACCGTTTGCTTTTTTGAGGTCTTCTTTTGGCTATTTTGAGTATTTTCACATTTTGGCTCCCGCCTACTTTAAATGTCCAAATTGCCCCAACCCTTGTTAACAATTAACTTTTTTAATTTCGCCTCAGTTATCATTTTCTAAATTATTAGATCATTTTCTATATTATTATGTTAAACAAATATATTGTTACTCTCTGTAATTTGTCTCTGTTCTAAACTTCGTTCTACACACCAGGCGACACCTAAGCATTACGATTTTGGTTTAGATTCAGACGATCGAACGGCGTTCTGGCGAACTAGGTGACAACTAGATGGGCTATTTAGTATTTAAAAAAATATTGTGAAAAAAATGATTTTATTTTTATGCCTAAAATTTAAAATTATTATAATTATAATATTAATTATTATATTAAGACTAATATAATAATTATGAATGCATTAAATTTGTATTTGACCATATTAGTTATATATATATTAATATAATAAATATTATAAATTATGTATAATAATAAATATAAATAAATTTATTAATTTATGTCTCCACCTAGGCCGCATCCTACCTTCTATAACAATAATAATAGTGAGTCAACCATATATTTTTACTAAAAATATATCACATTTTAATTTATATGGTATATTTTTAATATATAAAATTTGATTATCAAAAAGTGTATGAATGGCTAGCTGCAGCATAACAAAAGAAATATTTTTTTTATTATTACCACTACTATTTAACGACTTGCGTTTTCACATTATTATTAATTTACCCTTGATTGATATAAGATGCTAAACAATTATCTCTTGTGTCTTTTGTTTTGTTTTTTCTTTTTTATTTATTCATTTATTTTTTGTGCGTCTGTTTGAATGACTTTTAAATTATGGTACAATTTATTTTTTGTACTACGGTATTCGTGCGATGCACGAGAGCATTTATTAAATACTTCTTTATGTACAACATTATTGATTTGATTCTTTGGCACGTAAAGTAATACATAGGTGTTCGAATTTATCCAAAATTGCATATTACTCCCTCCATTTTGAAATATAAGGCATTAAGGTTATTGCACAAATATTAAGAAAACATTAATTAATGAATAAATTGACTAAATTAACCTTATTTACTCTAATCACAACCACTCCACACTTCCTTAATTTCAACACAATGAGGGTATATTTGGAAAAAAATGCAAAAATTTGTCTTGATTTTTGAGCGCGCCTTATATTTCAAAAAAATTGAGAAATCTTTATACGCCTTATATTTCAAAATGGAGGGAGTATTAGTTATTAATTATCAAATTTTAAAAAAATTAAAGGATCTTATTTATTAAACAAAACTATTAGAAAAAAAAAGTAGAATTTTTTAGGGATTTTCATCCATTATTTATTTTAAATCTAATTCTAAATTTCAATTAAGAAAAATTGAAAAGAATCATTAGTTACTCCTGGAAATGAAACCAATTTTTCTACCAATAAACCGAGTTTTTTATCAAACAAATTGATCCGAATTTTTTTTAAACCAAATAAAAAAATCATCAATTTTTCCTAAAAATGCAATCGAATTTTCCTAACATTGCACCGATTTTTGTACTAAATAAATTGAATTGAAAATAATTGTAATAAAAAATTGAAATAAATTGTTAATGTTTATGCAACTGTCTCTTTCTTAAAGAAAATGATATGAACTTAACCTAAAAAAAATGATATGAACTTACCAAAATCTCAGTAAAACATGGTTAAGAAAAAACATAAGAATAAAAAAAAATCGATACATTTAAATTTTCAAAAGTTGCGCACAATTTTTCTTAAATAATTGGATAAGGTGACTTTAAATATCAATGATGAACCGCTTTTGTTACCAAAAAATGTGGACACAATTTTGAATGTACATCCCGTCCAACTATCAGTTTTATTTTAAAATAAAAATTGCACATGGCTTTATCCAATTTATACATTTTTTTTGAAAGAAAAACTATTCAATAAGATTGGAAGAATTGGTTAAGAATTATACAACTATTTGCTTCCTAAATTTGTATCTAATTTGCACGGTTTTTAAATTAATTTGTATTTAGAGTTGTTTTCATAAATAATTGACACATTTTTTGCATAAGAATCCCCAAATTTGTTACAAAAAAAGATATGATTTAAATTTTGGTAAAAAAAAAAACATGATACGAAAAAAATGAGATTCAAATTTTGCCATAAAAATCTCCAAATTTGTTATAAAAAAAATAGGATTTAAATCTATTATTATATAAAAAGAATAACCTTTTTACAAATTTAGAAACTTTTTCCCGCCAAAATCATTAAATATATCCTAATATAGTAATTGTTGGACAAATGTAAATAGGCAAAAAAATCGTCTCATTTTTTTTAGTTTATCAAAATCGTTGTTTGACAATAAATATTTGTTTTTTTTTTTTCTATTTTTAGTATAAATCTACACGCTTATCTCTTCTATTATACATCTCCCGTGTTTAAAAAATTTCATCCCTTATTTATACAGATTTGAAAAAATAAAATAAAATAGACCAATTCATAATTACTACTAGAAATCCACTATCTTTAAAAAGAAAAAATAAAATAAAATAGAAACTAATTCATAATTACTACTGAAAATCCATTATCTACTTTAAAAAGCTAATTTTTATCGGTCTGATTACTAATATTTTTACAAATATTATAAGCTAACCATACAAAAAGTATAATAATAATTTTGAAATGGTGTGTAATCAAATTTTTTTATATTATCTTATACAAAATAATTTTACATTATTTGACCACGAATCTTTAATTTATAATTATTAAGTATTGTTTATCTTTAATTTATCGGTCTAATTACTAATATTTTTACAAATATTATAAGCTAACCATACAAAAAGTATAATAATAATTTTGAAATGGTGTGTAATCAAATTTTTTTATATTATCTTATACAAAATAATTTTACATTATTTGACCACGAATCTTTAATTTATAATTATTAAGTATTTTTTATCTTCCTCTTTAATTTATAATTATTTTTTTTTTGTTTCCTCTGATCAATAGTAGTTTTCACTTGGGTCATTGAGTGACTCAAACTCGAGGTTTATTTATAATATTGTTAATTTAATATTGTTTCCGTGCATCGCACGGGGTATACACTAGTTTTGTTACTAAAGATTCACATGTGTTTTTTTTTTACTTTCCATTAATAGTAAGTCAAACATTATATTTATTTGGTCAAACTTTCTGTTAATGTATTTTTCCAACAACCTCTTTATATATACTAGTAATCACCCGTGCGATGCACGGGATATTATTATCTAGACGCTTTTTAAAAGACAATTTTGTATATAAATTGTGTAATAATGCAATGATCATGATCATAAGAATAGACATATAAACATATAATTAAACTGAAAAGATCATATATTATTGAACACTTCACTATATTC